GGCAACAGGGCGCACGGCCCGTGCACGTCGGTCGGGTCGAGCATCTCGCCGCGACCGCAGCATCGAAACACGGTCACGTTGTCGGAGGATGACACCGCGGCCACCGACACTAGAAGTAACAACGACACCGTCGTCGCGGAGACGTCTCGCGGACGACCGCGCGACATTTTTCGTACGGACGATAGCGACGTTAATTAGGTCGTGGTCTACGCGCGCCTAGTGTTCCGTCAGACGACGCGACAAAACGTTCATAATATTATGCAATAACGGCGTGTTTTTTTTTTTTTCGTCTGCTATTTACGGCGCGGCAAACAAATTTCGCGGAAAACGCACGTCGGCTTTGTGTATGAATATTTACGCGGGTGTTGCGTACGCCAACTGAACGGACGGCGGCACAAACGTACGCGGACGACGACGAAACGACACTGGTCGCGTAGTACCACCGGTGCGGCGGTGCTTTCCATCCGACGGCGACGCTCTCACCTCCCCACCAACAAAAACGAGAACCCGTATAGTCGGAGCGTTGCCGCCGCGGGTTCCTCGTCCCGTCTCGTCATGTCGCTGCAACGCGAATAATGTTGTCATCGCTGTCGCAGCCGCCGGACTCGCAATTCGCTCGTCAGCCGTGCTTGTTCTTGCCATAGGTCGCGAATGTTGGTGAATATTTTTACGTCTATACCTGTTGCGTCGGAGCGATCGTGATAAGGATAATAATAATAATATTATGTTATTTGGTATTACGATTAAAATTGTACACACTTTGGTTACGAAAGATAAAATCTTATCTGCAAACTGTGAAAATATCATAGGTATATAATATAAATAGGCCGTAATAGGTACTATTTTATAGGTGTAGGCTTCGTTTTTCCTCTGTATAAGTAGACAGTAGAAGATTTTGGCGCTTACTTTTGCTTACTTTTACTGCTTTTAATACTTTATACAAATAAAAAATATAATCGAATTTTTGAGCGGAATGCGTATGTGTTAACTGATAAACAACAACAGAACTACATCAGCATACTCTACTTAAATAATTGTATTATTATTATTATTTTATATTGACGATAATACWTGTATGCRTGTAAATTTTTATTTTCCCATTATTTTTACACAGAAAATTGTTCGATTAAACGAGCGTTCTTAATCGTCGAAAACACATTGCAAATGCACTAGATACGACTTTTTTTCAATTAATCACTTTAATCATTGGTTTTACAAAAGTATACTTCGCCAATAATGCGACGAAATTACGCATTTATTTAACTGTATGCTTTATAATTTTAAATAATTCTCAAGTCTTAGATCACAACCAGCCGTCTTGGCCATTGAGCACAAAAAATTAAATATAAATKATGTGAAAGAAAACGAATAATGGTAATGGTTTGAACGTTTTATAGTAGACAGTAATAGATACCTATACTCGTAAATCATTTTTCAATTCGTCTAAAATATTTTATATTTTGGCATGGAAAATAATTTGATGATTCTAGTTTGATTTTAAATAGATTTATTTTCGACCAGATGTTGTTTGTTATACTGTTATTGTTATCAATATATAAATATATTATTATATTATAATCGTCAAGCTTCCGAGCTACCACGTTAAAATTTCAAAGTAAACAATCTCAGTAGATCTTGAGCATATTAATACCAAATTGTAAAATTATAAATACAATTCAATTTTCATATGTAATAATAGTAAACTATTTCAAGTTTATAGTTTGAATACTCTCGTATTATAATGCGTATCTATAGAAAATTAATAAATATTCGATTTAATTATGCTTAATAAACTCATGTCATTGTAGAAATAATCTGTAGTTAAACATGCAATAATTAAATAATTATTGAAACACAATATTATTTATGCAAATTTCATACTCAGTAAWTCCTAATTTAATTATCAAGCCAATTTTATCAAATTGTATTATTAGATTTTACTCTATATTTCTATTACTATTAAATTAATCACTTTGTTGGCGTGGTTGAATAATGTATGTTATTTTAACTGAATTTAATCAATCACAATCTTTTTTTTATTATTTTAACATATGATCATTTTTTTAAATATTAGTCAAAGATTAAATATTTTATCAATGCAGTAGAATAGCTTTTTTTAAATTCAATAGATTTAATATGTATATTTTACACAAATCAAATCAATTGTATAATTGTATAAAATAACAAATATAGGTACTATAATTTTTATTGTTTAACTGTCTGTAACAACGATATTTTCAAACTTTTGAAATGCAATTATTATCACTTTTTTGATCGATCGATCGTCACAATTTTAAAAATATTAGTCTGAATTTGGGGCGTCTCCAGTCTTGGGTATGGGAGGGGGGGTGAAATAATAAAAAATTAATATTAATTTACACGGTAAAGCAATAAAGCATGATTGATCATATACATTTTTAGCAAGTAATATAATATAATACAATAGTAATTACTATGTAAGTCGGTCCAAATTATGGGTCACCCCCTTCGCTTCCCCCGGGACGCCGCTGGTCTGAATATCCGGATGATATTTAAAGTCTCGTCAACGATTGACTGATTGCAGTTTGTATAGCTACTCATTGTAATGTTGTAGGTATATAGTATATATATTATTATTTAAAATAATTTCGGTATTTCTTCCATATATTCACTGCGTATACCAAAATTATGGGTCAACCTCAGATGAGATCTAAAAGAATTTTATTAGATTTTTAAGCAAACAGAAACACGTAGGTAGGTATTTAAACATCGAGCGTCCAGAATAACGCTAAAAGCCATAATCATTTTATAAGACTGTGGTACGTGACGCCAATTAAAGTTTAGACATTAATATAGAAATGTACGATAATTGAATCGTATGTGATATATTATTATATTCAATGTAGACGATTTGTATAATACGCACAACGCGTATCTACTTGGACGACTGGAAAAAAATCGTGACACAAAAATTATGTACTGATTGACATGTTCACGCATAAATATCTATTATAGGTATTGATACCTACATATATATATAATGTATGTATATATACAAGTAAAATCTAGTATAGATATGTAACACTAATATACGGTCACATATTTAAAAGTAAATACTGCAATATAGTCGTACTGCAGCAGTGTGCATAGTAGACGCATTTTCTTTTTGTCCTGATGCACAACAAAATATAATATAATAATTATTATTATTATTATGTGTATAATATTTAGTATAGGTAGTCATTTTATACATTATATATTTACAGTGAAATTTTCAGTTTAACAACATTTTTTTTGTTACACAAATGGTTTACTTCACCGTGCAATATACTCGTATAGTAGAGGAAATGTAGGAAAATTATGAGCTACCTATATGCATTTTATTTGTTTACTTTAGCAAACTTTGCTTGACAATTTTTTCGTCTCTATACGTTCGATCGTTCATAAATATTAAAATTATAAATGTTATTAAAACGGTATAGGTTCGTAATAACACGCAAACTTGGAATTTGATTTTTAAGAGATTTGTATAATTTGTATAAATTAAAATATCACACATCTAACAGATAATATTAACTTTATCAGGTCTTTATGAATTAGTTATATTTTTTAGTCTAAGAAATGAAGATWAATCATTCTAAATGTAGAAATAATGTTAAACGGTTACCAATTAAAAAAGAAAACTAAAAAKAAATTGTTTAACTGAAAGCTAATTTGAGAGGCAAATTCATATAATATATATATTGGAAGGTGTTAGTTCGTAGGTACCTAATTCCACTCACGTGCATAATATACACAAACGTTAATGTAATTCAGAGTATACAATATAATACTAATGGATATATACGTTTTCGTTTAACACAAGTACACACAACACAAAGGCAATATTTGTCTTTAAATGTATTCATGTAAATATACTCAAAATACCCAAACACCAAAGTGTTTTCTAACTGGTCATTTTCTGTTAGACTCATATTGTGTACTGTGTAGTAGGTACCTAAGTATACATACATTTTTCTTTCGAAAATACTKACTGTAAAACATGTATATTACTAATGTCGAATGTATTCGTGTACATATATTACATGATGTTGGACACAGAAAATGACGAATAATAGTTTACAAAATAAAAATGTACAGAAAAAATTTATTGTCAAAAGTAAAAAGATAGTATGCTATATATGGTACCTATGTATAATATATATAAGTATATAACTATATATTATAAGGTTCGTTTAATCCCGCGAACTTGAGTCTTAGTAAAATCTACTATTTTGTGTTAYTTTGGCGGAACATTTACTMTCATCACAACTTATTGTGTGAACCGGATTTATAATCAAAGAATATTTCATATACCTATATGGCTATATATATATAACATAATACGCAGTTAGTTGTTAATTGAAAGAGTCTGCAGATTAAACGCATACAATATATAGTTAACTGTGAAGTACTCATGTGTATAGATATAACATATAAATATATAATACGATATAACAATAGTAGTTTTATGTCTTATCACTAATCAGTCATCACATATCATAAATATCCTTAAATTTAATCCTAATACAGAATAAAAAAAACGGTAAATCATTGATGTTGCTTTGCTGTACAGTAGATTATAGGTACAAGTGGGTTACTGTAATGGATGGAATTNGCATATTTTATGAGTATTAATTATTAACTATGCTATTATAGATTATGCCGCTTAGTTGAAAGATAACAACGAACTATACCGTTAATCGTCATTATGGTAAGCTACACGCGTACCTAGTTTAGGTAACCTTAGCAGCGTCGAATAGATTCCGACCACGCTCTCGGTCTAAATATACTACAGTTTAGCATACTACTTATTAATGACAAATCAGTATAGATATCATATGGCTCCACATCGGTAATGTATCGTCTAATAATAATATTATGTAGAAACGGCCGTAGCGTACGTGTGCGAAATTACAAAGGGAARAAACTAAAATTTCTTTCCGTCCTTCCGGGAGAAAGTATATTTTATGTTGTGTAAATTACTTAGGTAGTGATAATCGATGATATAAGCAATGACATTTTTTCACGATCGTACCTGTGAAAACGCATAGTGGTCCGCGCAAAGAGTCGCCGGACAGTTGGACGAAGGCCAGGAACAGGTCGCCGACTAGCAAGCATCCGACGTGGTTGACTTGGCACTTCCAGTGGAGCACGTGATAAGTGCTGGGCAGCATGCAACTGGCCACCAGGGTGACGGCCAAGAAGAACACGGACAGCAACAGCCCGAGCGGGTATAGGGTGAACCGGATGTCCTCGCGATAGCTCTTGGTCACGTGGTCGACGCCGTGCCGGGGCGCACACGTAAACACGGTCCACGTGCGCGGCTCCTGCGTCTGTTCGAGCACGCGCTCCAGACAGTATTCCCGAGGCTGGAGTGTGACTCCGTCGGTCGTACGCAGCTGTCCGCCGGCGGGCCACGCGCCGTTGACGGGCCAATGCGACTCGTTGATGCGACCCGACAAGATGTACACGTCGTCCTCGCACCGCGGAAATCCGGACGTGATGTCTTCCGGAAGATCGGCCGCGTCGTGCCGGCCCGAGTTCTCGCATCCTCCGTTCACTTCGCTGTACTCCGCCGATGGGCCGCAACACTTTTTCGTTTTGTTCGGCTCGTCGGGCAAGCACAGCAGCGCGCCGGCTCGGTCCAGGCAGTACAGTCCCGGGTCGACCATCAGGTTCTTTGGCCAGTGTTGCGCCAGAAGCGTACCGTTGAGAAACGACACGAACCGGGGCGGGTCTTGGGGCGTCGCGGCGGGCCGGCACGGCGGCCGTTCATGGACCAGGTTCCAGTAAGCCGGCGGAGGCTCGTTGGGGTTCAAGAACTGGTTGCTGTTCACGTCGAAAATGACGGGCACGAAGTCTTGCGGCGGCAAGGACGCCGGCAACAGGGCGCACGGCCCGTGCACGTCGGTCGGGTCGAGCATCTCGCCGCGACCGCAGCATCGAAACACGGTCACGTTGTCGGAGGATGACACCGCGGCCACCGACACTAGAAGTAACAACGACACCGTCGTCGCGGAGACGTCTCGCGGACGACCGCGCGACATTTTTCGTACGGACGATAGCGACGTTAATTAGGTCGTGGTCTACGCGCGCCTAGTGTTCCGTCAGACGACGCGACAAAACGTTCATAATATTATGCAATAACGGCGTGTTTTTTTTTTTTTCGTCTGCTATTTACGGCGCGGCAAACAAATTTCGCGGAAAACGCACGTCGGCTTTGTGTATGAATATTTACGCGGGTGTTGCGTACGCCAACTGAACGGACGGCGGCACAAACGTACGCGGACGACGACGAAACGACACTGGTCGCGTAGTACCACCGGTGCGGCGGTGCTTTCCATCCGACGGCGACGCTCTCACCTCCCCACCAACAAAAACGAGAACCCGTATAGTCGGAGCGTTGCCGCCGCGGGTTCCTCGTCCCGTCTCGTCATGTCGCTGCAACGCGAATAATGTTGTCATCGCTGTCGCAGCCGCCGGACTCGCAATTCGCTCGTCAGCCGTGCTTGTTCTTGCCATAGGTCGCGAATGTTGGTGAATATTTTTACGTCTATACCTGTTGCGTCGGAGCGATCGTGATAAGGATAATAATAATAATATTATGTTATTTGGTATTACGATTAAAATTGTACACACTTTGGTTACGAAAGATAAAATCTTATCTGCAAACTGTGAAAATATCATAGGTATATAATATAAATAGGCCGTAATAGGTACTATTTTATAGGTGTAGGCTTCGTTTTTCCTCTGTATAAGTAGACAGTAGAAGATTTTGGCGCTTACTTTTGCTTACTTTTACTGCTTTTAATACTTTATACAAATAAAAAATATAATCGAATTTTTGAGCGGAATGCGTATGTGTTAACTGATAAACAACAACAGAACTACATCAGCATACTCTACTTAAATAATTGTATTATTATTATTATTTTATATTGACGATAATACWTGTATGCRTGTAAATTTTTATTTTCCCATTATTTTTACACAGAAAATTGTTCGATTAAACGAGCGTTCTTAATCGTCGAAAACACATTGCAAATGCACTAGATACGACTTTTTTTCAATTAATCACTTTAATCATTGGTTTTACAAAAGTATACTTCGCCAATAATGCGACGAAATTACGCATTTATTTAACTGTATGCTTTATAATTTTAAATAATTCTCAAGTCTTAGATCACAACCAGCCGTCTTGGCCATTGAGCACAAAAAATTAAATATAAATGATGTGAAAGAAAACGAATAATGGTAATGGTTTGAACGTTTTATAGTAGACAGTAATAGATACCTATACTCGTAAATCATTTTTCAATTCGTCTAAAATATTTTATATTTTGGCATGGAAAATAATTTGATGATTCTAGTTTGATTTTAAATAGATTTATTTTCGACCAGATGTTGTTTGTTATACTGTTATTGTTATCAATATATAAATATATTATTATATTATAATCGTCAAGCTTCCGAGCTACCACGTTAAAATTTCAAAGTAAACAATCTCAGTAGATCTTGAGCATATTAATACCAAATTGTAAAATTATAAATACAATTCAATTTTCATATGTAATAATAGTAAACTATTTCAAGTTTATAGTTTGAATACTCTCGTATTATAATGCGTATCTATAGAAAATTAATAAATATTCGATTTAATTATGCTTAATAAACTCATGTCATTGTAGAAATAATCTGTAGTTAAACATGCAATAATTAAATAATTATTGAAACACAATATTATTTATGCAAATTTCATACTCAGTAAWTCCTAATTTAATTATCAAGCCAATTTTATCAAATTGTATTATTAGATTTTACTCTATATTTCTATTACTATTAAATTAATCACTTTGTTGGCGTGGTTGAATAATGTATGTTATTTTAACTGAATTTAATCAATCACAATCTTTTTTTTATTATTTTAACATATGATCATTTTTTTAAATATTAGTCAAAGATTAAATATTTTATCAATGCAGTAGAATAGCTTTTTTTAAATTCAATAGATTTAATATGTATATTTTACACAAATCAAATCAATTGTATAATTGTATAAAATAACAAATATAGGTACTATAATTTTTATTGTTTAACTGTCTGTAACAACGATATTTTCAAACTTTTGAAATGCAATTATTATCACTTTTTTGATCGATCGATCGTCACAATTTTAAAAATATTAGTCTGAATTTGGGGCGTCTCCAGTCTTGGGTATGGGAGGGGGGGTGAAATAATAAAAAATTAATATTAATTTACACGGTAAAGCAATAAAGCATGATTGATCATATACATTTTTAGCAAGTAATATAATATAATACAATAGTAATTACTATGTAAGTCGGTCCAAATTATGGGTCACCCCCTTCGCTTCCCCCGGGACGCCGCTGGTCTGAATATCCGGATGATATTTAAAGTCTCGTCAACGATTGACTGATTGCAGTTTGTATAGCTACTCATTGTAATGTTGTAGGTATATAGTATATATATTATTATTTAAAATAATTTCGGTATTTCTTCCATATATTCACTGCGTATACCAAAATTATGGGTCAACCTCAGATGAGATCTAAAAGAATTTTATTAGATTTTTAAGCAAACAGAAACACGTAGGTAGGTATTTAAACATCGAGCGTCCAGAATAACGCTAAAAGCCATAATCATTTTATAAGACTGTGGTACGTGACGCCAATTAAAGTTTAGACATTAATATAGAAATGTACGATAATTGAATCGTATGTGATATATTATTATATTCAATGTAGACGATTTGTATAATACGCACAACGCGTATCTACTTGGACGACTGGAAAAAAATCGTGACACAAAAATTATGTACTGATTGACATGTTCACGCATAAATATCTATTATAGGTATTGATACCTACATATATATATAATGTATGTATATATACAAGTAAAATCTAGTATAGATATGTAACACTAWTATACGGTCACATATTTAAAAGTAAATACTGCAATATAGTCGTACTGCAGCAGTGTGCGTAGTAGACGCATTTTCTTTTTGTCCTGATGCACAACAAAATATAATATTATAATTATTATTATGTGTATAATATTTAGTATAGGTAGTCATTTTATACATTATATATTTACAGTGAAATTTTCAGTTTAACAAAATTTTTT